GTTGTTCTTGTTTTTGTTCTTGTTCTTGTTCTTGTTCTTGTTGTTGTTGTTGTTGTTGTTGTTGTTGTTGTTGTTGTTGTTGTTGCTGCTGCTGCCGCCGCTGCTGCTGCTGATGCTGTTGCTATTGTTGCTGTTATCTGTTGTTGTTGTGGTCGGGTGTTGTTTGTTGTTTGTTGTTTGTTGCCGCTGTTGTTGCTACTCCTGCTTGTGCTGCTGCTGCTGTTGCTGTTGCTGTATCCGCTCTTGCAGCACATGCCTTCTTGGCCGCTACGTTGCAGGTGGCATGACGATCGTGGGCACTGAAGAGGAAGAGGGGGTGGGTTTGCACATGGACGGCGGGACTTTGCTTTTCCGCACCTCGACTTGAATCTTGTTTGTGACCCGGCCCGGTTTTTGCCGACTACTAAAAAATTCGGAGGCTCTACCAGTGGGATCCAAGCCACCAATACTTGCAAGCGTGTTGGCCGGTGCCCCACTTCCTGCAGTATCAGACAGTCACAATGCCGTCGCAAGCATTTACATTCGTGCCAACTTGAGCGACGGTATGACAGTGATAGCAACGATATTGGTCATAGCGTCATAGCGGACACGGCGGCGTAAGCACAGAAAAGTCATCACTGTATCGGCCGTGATGTCGCGGTTCTTCCGCTTGCGATAATTTCCATTGCCGAAGTAGAGTCTACACACCCATTGCTACAACGACCCCCACTACTCACTACTACTTCTTCCACTACTACTTCTTCCACTGCTACTACTACTATTGCTGCTGCTGCTGCTGCTTACTACTACTGCTTCTACTACTGCAACTGCTACTGGTATTGTTACGACGACGACTACTACTACTACTACGACGACGACTACTACTACTATTGCTACTACTCCAACCCCTACTACTACCACTACTACCACTACGACGACGACGACGACGACGACGACTGCTGCTGCTGCTGCTACCACGACGCCCACTACTCCGACTACTACTACTACTACTACTACTACTACTACTACTACTACTGCTACTACTGCTACTACTGCTACTTCTGCTACTATTGCTGCTACTACGACGAAGACAGGGACATTTAGGCACCATCAAGGGGGTTGATAATTTCCAGACCTGTATACACAGGAAATTGCACGGCCGATAGCGACTATGGTGGTGGGCTGCTGGTGTTCGAGGGGCCGATGCAGCTTTTCTGCAAATTTTGGGCTGGCTTAGGGTTTCACGTTCCACGTCCTTTCAGGACTAAGATTTCGAGCGGCAGGTCCTTACAGGTGAAACTTGGGCCTTTGTCTACGGTTTGCTTCTTGGTTTTCGACCGTGTAACGCAACGCCCATTTTGACTGGGTCCAGATCCACAGGGCGATGGGCTCGCTGCCTTTTGAAACTAGTAAAGTGCGAGGGGTAAGGGTGCAAAGTGGGCTAAGGGCGTTTTTAGGTGTTTTGAGGATGGTCAAACTAGGGGTATTGCTTCTCCTACTCCTGAGGGTCTCGTGACTGTGCTCGTTTGCTTCATTCAGCCTGGTCAGGATCGTCGTCGCTATTGTTATCACCATCGGCTCATCACCGTCACCAGCATAATCATCACCACTGCCAGGTGTTGTTGTGACCTGAAGCTCGGGGCAGGCGCCCGTCCCCGGCACTCAAACTCTCAAGCCCTGCATGGCGCTTATGGCAGTCTTGGTGCCAGAAGTGCATGTGGGTAATCAACACCAGCAACAATGGCAGCAGCAGCAGCAGCAACAGCAACGTCAGCAAAAGCAGCACCGACTAGTGCTGCCACTACTTCGACAACAGCAGCAGCAGCAGCAACAACAACAGCAACAACGGCCACCGTAGCAACAGCAACATCAAGGCAAACAGCACCAGCAAAACAACACGTACGACAACGACAGATTGGGACGATGATTAGCACTATCACTACCTTAACAGCAAGAGCAGCATCAGCAACAACAGCCAGAAGAGAGGAAGACCAACAACATAGTTTCATATTTTTGTAGCCATGCCAACTTCCGAAGCACGTGATTAGGAGTGCCGATGTCGATGGAAGCTCGAGTTGACATCGCCGATCACGGCTAGTATGCACATTCCTCCACCAGTCCCCTAAAGCACTCCTTGAGTGCTCCGACTGCATGCATGGCATGTGTCATCATGTAATTGGTCACGCCACCCTGAACATCCGCGGATTGTAGATCCGCCAGCTTTTCACACTGACCCTTGCCCCTCGTGTTCAGGATCCAGAAAGGCGGAGACATCCACTTCAAGGACTGTACTGCTAATTTCGGCGGTGGCGCCTATGTGGAACGCAACGTCATCCAAGAGGACGGGGCCATGGAGCACCTAGTCAAGTCAATGAGTGAAAACAGAACGACATTTTTGTAGCTTTTGTTATCATCTTCCATTGTGGGCACATCGCTGCTGTGTTTAAAGACATCCTCCTCTCCTTAGGTTCCTTCGTTGCAAATCCTCGCGATGGGGCGACGGCGGTGGCATGTATGCCCGCGAAGGGCTCAAGCAAGCTTCTGGCCTGCAAAACTGGGTGATTCAGTGTGGCAGCAATGCAATCAATGAACCGTGCTGAGGTGAACGGCGAGATCAGGTTGGAAAATTGTCACTTGCTGAGCTTGTGGCATTGACGATTCTGCACTGTTCGTCCTGTTCGTGACTGGTATATCCGTTGCAAACTATATCTGCTCACATTAGCACAACAGGTTTCTGGGCCTGGTTGCGAGGAAAGGGGGAGGAAGTCAGACCTTCGAATGCACCTTAATTAAGAAATACACCCGCAAATTATGGTAGGATCCCGAAGATGACTTAAATCATCATCCCCGATGTACAGAGGCACCGCCGGGCGCGCCGGCGGAGGGATCTACATATCGAAGGGCAGTCTGCAGCAACTGCACCTCGTCAGGGGGTCTGGGGGCTTCCGGGTGGTGCGGTGCAGAAGCTACGGCTAAAGGATTGAAGGGACTGGTAAGGTCCGAGCACTCGGTGCTTCCATAGACTCTGAGGTCATACAGGCGTAGCGCAGGGTCCTAGTCCGGTTTTTGGGTCGCAGATGCCGTCTCCACTACAGTTCGCAGTACAGCTCTATACCCTCAACAAACCCTTGCCATATTGGCAGTTTCCAAGTGTCACATCGAGAGCACCTGTACCTCAAGATTTGCAGCCATCCATCACCATGTGCCTACACGAAGCCAGTCCAAGCCATCTGTTTCGGGGTGTCATGGATTTGTTGACGGCCGCAGCCGCTTCCAAGCCAGTGATGCTTCGCATTCGCGGCATGGGGAGCAAACTGCTCCGTTGGAACGGTGCCACACATTGGTTTACTGACGAGAAGCTGTCACAAGAAACATCAAGAACATCCTCTTTACAGCCTGTGTACTCAAGTTTGATTCCATTGACCGGGCAGTGACTTTACCTCACGTATTTCTTCTGTACCACATCGATATCACATGTTATCGTTTTACCGTTGTTTTCGTTGTCAACCTGCCAGTGATTAAGAGCCTACTTACCATGGGCACCCCTACCTCCGAGGGGCGGAGACTTTCACGTTGTGCCGCTTGGCTGACTTCGACTCCCTTTGAATCGGCCCCCTCTGTCGAAAGAAGCAGCGAAGAGACACCCAGACCTCAACCCTAGATTCTCTCAATGAAGCTGTTCCTTCTGCACATCTCTGCACCCTAACGGCCCTGAACCGTTAGCCTTTCCTTCACCCCCCCTATCCCCCAAAAAAACCTATTGTTTTTACCTTGTCCGGGGTTCTATAATGATGAACCACAACAAGGAGCCCGAACAAAAAGAGCCGCCCACAGCGATAGCTTGAAGCCCGTTAACGCTGAAAGTACCTCGCTTTGCAAGGTCTGAGCTACCGAATGCGTAAACCGGAACCATGAGGAACCACCGCTCCGGAGTAGTGAGTCCTGACATTCCTGAATTTCGTCATTACATACATACAGCCGAAAGCCCTATTCCAATTATGAAGACACTTATATAAGCCAAGCAGGATACACAGGCCAGGGAAAGGGAGACAGATCGCCAAGAAATGTGCCGACGAAGGGGAAGTTGAATGTGCATAGCCCTGCGATGCGACGCGGGAAAGCCTCGAAGCCAAACCCGAACCCCAAACCTCCAAGGCGCGGCTTCAGTCACAACCGTGGTGGCGGCATCGCCATTGGCACCGGACCCACCGTTTGCATTAGAACAAGTGGGGTTGGTACGGCCTTTTGTAAGGGTACTACAAGGGTTCCCACTACAGGTTACCACAAGGGACACTGTAATGATTACTATTGGAGGCCATCGTCTCTATCAGCCCTTTTGGGATACAAGTGATTTGTCAGAACGGGACGCGGGCACTGTTTTGGTCGGCAACTGTAGACATGACATGATGCCACTCCCCCGGACCGAGGACACCTCATACAAACAGGCGGCTACCTTGAAGTACACACGTGGCTTGTCAAGCATAGCAGTAGTTAGTAGTTCCTGATGGCAAAGGTTGGGGGGGGTGCAGGCCAGAACGCCCAAAGCCCAACTAAAGCGACCTGCTGAAAGCCCGGAGTCGATGTTGCTTCCCGGTGGCGATGCAGCCACCTTTGTTCAACCACTTTTCTGTTGACTTTAGTTCAGCTGTCAGAATGATGACAGTGAGGGAAGCCTTGGGATGACAGCATTCTTTGACTCAGGTGCTGGACGGAGCAGGGAGGTGGTGGAATTACCATTAAAGATGGTAGAGTCTCGGCGGCCCGAAGCGTTTTTGACCTTCCTACCCCGGAACTCCGCGACCTAGCAGTACTGCACATGTCTTTAACTGTCTCTGTGGCATAAAAGAAGGAAGCATTAATTCGACATAATCTTGCTTTACATGTTTCCGGAGTCCAGAGTGATGCCAAAATACCAGGGCCATAGATTGGTGATGGGTTGTTGCATGGGGTTCGTACCCTTGCCCCATACCATGGTCTTGCGGGGAAGAAGTCACCTGCGACAAATCATGAAAATTGTAGCACCCACGGTCGCCGTTACCCTAAATACTTTGTGGGCTGACCCTCGTGATGAAGAAAGCGGAACCGTCGAGAATTTCAATAGCTGGCTAGCCGTCTACACTTGAGCTCCATTTTCTCAGCTTCACATAAGTGTCGATGGCAGGAGGACCAACAGCATTGCCCCCGCCCGCTCTCCTTTCTCGGAAGGCTGTCGGAAGCCGTGCGTCGGAATCACAAACTTCATGTGTATATGAATCTGTGATGTCTGTGATGATATGAAACACGCGCATGCACAAACATGCGCCCTTCTTGTACGGTTCCCCGCTGGCGCTTCCCATCCACTGTCATCGCTTGTCATGGGTACATTACCGTTTGCATGCCTGCCGTCTGCATGGTCTGTTCAAGCTAGTATGAAGCACACGTCAGTTCATGTCAGTCCTACTGTCCTACGTACTGCCAATCACAGTCACAATGGGACAAGCGGCAGAAAGTCAGGCGTGAGACAATCAGATGGAACCATCTTGGTGCAGGGATGTGGCACTTCAGGCCGTGTGCCTCTGCTGCAGTGCGACGTGCTGCTTTGGATGTGCAGTTTCTGGGGCATCAGAAAGGGCAAGCGATAGGTGTGCTGTTTTGCTCACAGCAGGATATTGAGCTTCTAGCGGTTGGCAGCTGCTGCAAATAAAATGGAGTAAGTGCAGGTATGGCCTGCTTTGCCGGCTGATACTCCGGGACAAAAAAGCGAATGGGATGTAATAGCCATGGTCATCACCATCGTCATCATCATTCTTCATCATCATCGCCCTTCAGCGAGCAGCATGACGACGACCATGATCACGTCATCGTTCCCCCGTCACCATGGGCACGAAGATGAAGAAGGACGGACACGACGGAAACGAAGTCGCGCCACGCAGGCAGCCCATATACATATGTGTGTATGTATATATATATATATATACTATATATATATATATATGTATATGTATAGTTTGTTATTTGTTTATTTATGTCTTTCTTTCTTTACCTATTTATGATATCGTTTGTTAAGATTATATCATGCAGTATTGTATATAATGTATGATATCTGATATAGAATATAGTTTCGTAGAGTATGGTATAGCATGGTGTCGTACATATTCATGTTTATATATATATACATAATGAAAATCAATGTCTACAACGAAAATATGCCATACAAAATGTATAGTATAGAATATCTGGTATATACTGCAGAGTATATCCACTCTCAGACTGTGCTGATATAAGCTAGGTGGTAGGTCAGGCGACGGGTGCAAAACTCTACCTGTCGTCGTATGATGTGCTGCATCGAAACCCGTTGATACATTCTTGATGCTATAAGCCAACTAGCCCCATAAACCTAGAAACCCCAAACCCCAGCCCTAAACCCTAACCCCTAAAACCCTTAAACTGCAATTGTCGTCGTGTACCAGGAACCTCGCCTAGACATGTTCGAGAGTGAGTGCTGAAAACCCTTGAACCCCTAAACCTAGAAACCCCAAACCCCAAGAATGGTGGCTGCATCTACCTGCTGACCGGGGATGTGGAGCAGACACACGGCACTCTGGTGCTGCGAAGTTGCGAAGCCGAGGCCCTCTGAATCTTTGCCTCAGGGCAGCATGCAGTTGAATATGATCATTCCGAAGCTGTCGGTGCTTGAAACAGCTGAACGCCAGAAACCCAAGACGCTGCAATGTTGGCAGGTAAGGGGTGGACTGATGTCCATCGGACGCGGCAGCTTGCTCAGCATGTGGGGTTCAGCTCACAGGCTTTTGGCTTTGGGCAGCAGGGCTTTGAATAAGTGAGTAAGCCGAGTAGCGTGCTCTGAAGCCTGAAGCTGAACATAGTTCACAGGCGAGAGCCCTTGAGAAATATCAGGAATGCACCAGCTCGCAGCCAAGCCAAGCAGCAGAAAATATCCACAGAGAACCCTAAACCCTAGACCCGTGTGAGCGCCGAAATCCTAAACCCTAAACCCTGAAGCCGTGGCCAAGGAAACTTGAACCAACTTGGCGGCAAGATGGTCTTCGAGCATGGCAAGACCCCGGCATCTGGCGAAGGTGGCTGCGTCAACTTAGCCCGCGGAGGCTCCTCACCTTCAGTTCATGTACTTGTTTAGGGTTTAGGGCTAGGGTTTAGAGTTTAGGGTTTAGGGTTCAGGGGTTTTGTCAGTGTTATGGCAATGGGTATTGCTGGTTCAGCTGCCAGATGTTGCGCAAAAGCCTAGGCACCTAGCAAGAAATAATCGGGATAGGTTGAGTGGTGTCCGGCACGTGTGCCAGCTGGGCGAACATGTCGCAGTTCGCTCGCTACACAAAGCGTGCCCGACTGCCTTTCGGGAAGTCAAGCGCTTTTGACAAATGCTCAGGCAAGGTTCTGCGATAGAGATCTTTGATGCAGAAGAAACAGGCCTTAGCCAAAGCATCGCCACCTCAGACAGCTCAGTAGAGACACCTGACGGGAAGCGCCACTTCATGCTCCTGCCGTATCAAAGGACTCAACAGCAACAGACAACATCAATACTTGAGCGCTCATGAAGCTAACAGCCACAGTGCCGTGCACTTCAAATCGCTTGAAGTTGCTAGCGCCCTGGCACGACCAAGAAATTCGGCTCCCTGGCGCCTCGTGATCTCGAAATCCTGGAATCCTATCCGGGGTTGTCTTAAGTTGGGAAACATGCTCCCGCCACATTGGCGACAGTCCCGTGTGTTTCCGTCTCCCGGCATCATGCTTCCAGACACAGTGGCATGCACATACAGTAGGGTCAGTAGAGGGTGGGACGCATGTTTTCACCACCACAAATCGTGCGGACGCTCGTTCACGGTGCTTGGGGTCCATTCGCATGTCTTTTGCCAGGTAACACAGGTAGCGAACACAGACAGCATAAGATATAAATACAGTACGTACATACTGACGTTTCCGTAAATGCCTGGTGTCATGCTTAAGTGAAGCAAGGATAAGCAGGAACCGACGATTCAGACCACAGCCAGATCCCAGGAGCAACACGTAAAGTAAAGTGTCCGAGCTGTGTGGTACTTGCCGCATGAACGAAGATTCTAGAATATAATCGAAGGCCACAATCACCAGCGCCGTAGACCTTGCGATTTCAGTTAGTGTTGACACAGGCTTGCGGAGGAGATTTGGAGGAGCAAAGGTTCTGAGACGATCTGAGACCTGCCTGTACCGTGAATATCTCAGACGTAAAACTGTGAACCTCTTATACTACTTATACCTCATCAGCACTGAGCCTCCCCTACAAGGCCTTGTGCAGACTGGTGGCAGCATTCTCTTCTCTGATTCTTGGATGTTCAGGCCCAGGCAGCACTCGCCTGCTATGTTGGGTTTCAAGACGTGCAGCGTCAGTCTCAGTGGGAATGCGAAAGCACAAACACACAGCTAAAGAGATCCAAAGAGCAGCGGGTGGGAAAGGGATCGAAGGCCGCACATCTAGAGCCGCAGGACTTGATTGTATATAGTGTCACGCAGCAGACCGGCAAACTATGGCAAATATCATGTGTTGAAGAAAGCCCGATGTAGTACTGGGGGACACTCTTCTCTATTCTTCGTCTTTTCTTTATACTAAGTGTATTTGCATGTCATCCTAAAGCCTTGCAGGGGTGAATTCACAAACGGCCGAGCAGAGGACTGCCACACGGGCTCCTGGAGCAGTGGCGGGGCTCTCTCTGTCACCGGCAACCTCCGGCAAACAGATGGCCAGCTCCTGCGTTTCGGCTTCTTTGGAGACTTAGGGTCGAGGGGTTCGGCTTTCCAGATCGGGCTCCAGCTACTTGAATTGTCGGGTAGGTGTAGGGTTTAGGGTTACCAAGTTACCAATCATAACCCAGTAACCCGTTACATGGTTTCAGCTCAGGGTAAAGAGGGTGCAAGACCGAAGCGTGTGCCTCCTCTGCACAGAGTCCACTTCGATGCTGTCAGGTTTTATGATTGTACTTCGCCTTTGTCGGGTGGGGCGCTTTGCGTCATGGGTCGCCCGCCTCAGTTTATAATCTTTCAGTTTGTCCACCAAGGCTGTGCGGGGATACTCACCCCTGCATGTGGCATGATGAGCTTAGCATCGTCGTTTGCACGTATAAAGCTATCGACTAATCCCGCACAGGAGATGCCACTCAAGAGGGTGGGGTCATGGAGTTCCAGAAGTGCTACTCTGAAGAGACTGGCGGTGGCATGTGCCTCGCCGCAGTCCAACCCGGGATTCTGGCATAGTTGGTGTGTGCTTAATGCAATACAAACAAGGTTTTGCCTGTAGGGAAATCACCAGTTGGTGCCGCGTGACAGAGTCCAGAACGAGGCTGGCGAAGTGTCGGAATTTGCACCCTGAGTTATCCCCACTGTATCGTATAATAACTATAGTAGATTATATATTATAGCATTATAGTATACTCTATACTTGTGTATTATAGTATACTTTATTGAAGTATATTCCAGAAGATTCAGCAGGTACGTTTTCGGCGACCTGACGCAGTTGGGTGGCGTGATAGAGCTGCTTCATCCAACAAGCAAGCTATGTCACTTGCGTTTTTAGTGGGTTTAGGGTTTAGTGGGTTTAGGGTTTACGGTTTAGGGTGCTTAGTGACACGGATGCCATCTGGCGTCTGTCCCCTGCCACAGATCCAGAACAAGGCTCAACAAGTTCTTTATGCCCAGCATTGTACATTGTACATGTCATCGTGCATCTAGCAGCCGGTTTGCGGAAAGGTTTCTCCAGTGTGCCACTGGCAGCAACATGACCCTTTTTCAAAGCAGCCGAGGCCGGGTGAGAGTCGTCTCAGTCATCGAAGTCGCTGTTCGCACCCCCAATCCTCGCAGTGTGATCGTGAAGTAGAGGATATGTCCAAGTGCGTGGGGTGACGGACGCGCTCAAGCCTGTCAAAGCCAAAATGCATGTGCCCTTCATGACACCTCCTGGCAGGCTATGCAGACCAGCCCAAGGTGGGCGGTGGGGCCTTGCACATACAAGGAAGTCTGATCCAGAAGGCCGGTGGCAAGGCAGCACTACGCCCGCTTTGATGGGTTGTGGTGTGCAGGCATGGCCGTACACTCGTCGCTTTACGAACCTAAGGTTTCTCATTGACCACCCTCGACTTATAGACTCGAAGCGGTTGATCGAGCGGTCTCAGGGATTATTGGAGCCTCCTGGGGATTGGTGGCTGCGCGTGCACAAAACAGCTGTGAAGCCTGTTGTTGCTATCCGTCGGTGTCGCCGTTGTTGTTCTTCGCTTTGTCTCGTTTCTTGTCGTTCTTATTGTCCCTCTTGTTGCTGTTCGCGCTGTTGCTGATGGCGGGGGTGGCGACGGTGGTCGTGTCTGTATTGTTCCCGATATGAAAGACATGGTTTCTACTGAATCTGCTGGTCCAGTAGCTGTTTGTTGAATAGCTCGTGCTTGTGGTTACGATGGACGTAAGGTGGAGTTTGTTTTCTTTGGAGATTGTGTTGTTAGCGGTCCTGCGGTCTGCTTCTTGGTCTTTTGCTACGACGTTCTGCGAGTTTTGCTTGAGCATTTATGCCCGAGGATCCATCAGTGCCGACAGCTGCACCACAGAAGGAAAAGGTGGAGGCAAGATTCCTCACTAACCTGCTGTTTGGACCAATTATTGGCTAGTAGAACAGTTGAGAGCTTTTTTTTTTGCACTTTAGAGGAAGGCTCGTGTGGTCTCAATTTGACATGAGGAGATGGGACCACCAAGTTGTAGTGCCACTCCACTGCCCTTCACTTTCGCGCATCTGCACTAAACATATTATAGGGGAAGAAATATTTTTTCCCCTATAATATGTTTAGTATTGACACCACCCAGATTGACATTCGGGTCCTGGGGCAATCTGACGGGAGACATGTTTCCTCTTTCCTGCGCCTGCGCGAGACTGTAGCCAACTATATTATGTTATACGCCGCTACAACGCATGATCTCATATTTGGCTTCTTACTATGTTCACTCATTATGTCTTTATTCCTGTGTTCATTGCATATAGCATGTTCCGAATCTTAAACTCCGTTTAGTCAGTTTCACCAAAGGTACTGTGTTGCGGAGTCCTTTAGCATATTATATTTGGTTTGTTGCGTAACAACATTTTCCGGTCTAGTATAGTATGGCATAGCATAGAGTCGTATAGCATAGTGCGGTACATCGCAGTACAGTCTAACATGCTACATTGTATTGTATTGTTCTCCATTGCTTTATACTACATCATATTGTGTTACAGCCTGCCACAGTATATTGTACTAGACTCCAACTAGACTATATTAGACTATACAACTCCTTACTAATTTGGCAAGATGCGCATGGATCTTGAAAAACCTCTACTAATTAGCAAAGTATTGAGGAACTTTCGAGTGGCTAGGCGGCCAAGACAGGCTGCTAGTCAAAAAAACACCAGCGTATCGCCCGTCTTGGATTCCTATGGCATCCTGAAGGGAGGAGGGTTCAAGGGGGTATAGAACCCACGGATGTTCCCTAGTGCCAAAACATCCCCGTTACAACCCCCTCCGAAAAAAAAAGAACCCATAATGGAAACGGGCCGGGTCCGCCCTGGTCTATCGTCAGGCATTTTCATCCTCAATGGAGACTTCCGGCAGACAGGTGGCAGTACACATCTGCAGAAGCTTGGCACCAACAAGCCATAGGTGAGACAGGCACCGTTGCGCGTCAAGACCTTTCAGCTCAACCCCGCGGTGGGCGCGTTTGACATTCCAGGTTAGAACCTTTTGGGCCTGCCCTTTTGAGTCAGGGCTCTTGGCTTTTATCCATGCTAGCTGAGTGTCATGTGTCAGTCTAGGGTCGACTGCCGCGCCTGAGGAGCTTCATGCAGTTCACGTCAAGGATGTGTTGTTGCCCGTTTCGTTCGGGGATGTAACTGGGACCTTTCCTGTCTCAGAGCCGGGGAACTCCTTCCCAGTTCCCAGATCCTCCTATTCTTGCAAGATGGAAGCAGATGTTTTTTTTCCGAGGAACTGCACTGCAGACGTGCTTGCAGGGGGCATCGGCTTGCAGACGCCCGGCAGGTAAAGTCACATGACGTACGGTTGCGGGAGCTTCTAACGCAGGGTGCAAGTGCAAGCTCTTCCTGCACCATCATAAAGAGTCCGTGCGATGCGGTTTCGTTCCCACGACAGTTGTCTTGCAGGCATCTGCTGGCAGCGTGGAAAGCTAGATTTATAATTTGCTGCACACATTCAGGACTTGTCTTGAGGCATCGCTTTCGGCGCAGACCTCATCGTGATGGGCCTTTCACGAATGTGCAGCGAAGCTTTGCTGAAGCAAGTCCTGCACAGACTTTGTCATGGGCTAAGGAATGGAAGCCTCGTGCAGGAAGAGGGCTACCTATGGATTAGTTTCGTGGCCGGTATTGTGAATTCACGGGCTGGGCCATGTCTTGATCTGTATATTCTTGTTGCCTGGTTGATTCTTCGCTACATCTCCGATGTGGGACACTTTGTGAAGGCGACTGCCACGCCGGCCAGGCGGGTGGTGCCTGCAGCGTCCAAGCTCCTTGCCGCATTGTGCCAGCTTTTCGGGAGAGTTGAAGATCAGAGCTCGGTTTCGTAGTTGTGTCTACATGAGCCTGCTTCCCCCAGATTTGAGTTATCAATGTTTGGAGTCAACATGACCAACCGTGACGCCGTAAATCCGGTTTTGAACCACGGAGCTGCCTCGATTCAAACCCTGAACTGCCCTAACCCCCTAGACCCTATATGGCTCAAGCTGCGTCTCGGCATTCAGGTAGCTTCCTTTAACCATTCTCCGGGCGTGGGTTAGTGTTTTGACTTGGGGTCTGAAATGAGAGATAAAATAATCATGGCGGCCCAGCGGCGGTCAGAGGAGTCAAGGGGAACCCGACCATCCCATCAGCCATGGCATCATCCAATGGATCACTTATCAGTCGGTTCTTCCATATACAGATAGGCTTCGTCTTCAGGAATGGTTTGGCTTCCCTCTTTCCCATGGATGGTGCACATGATCCAAAAATTGCAGTTGACTCAATTCAGCGCGCAGGCAGCAAGCATGCATCTTACAGCAGGGTAACGTGAATTGGTATGCAGGGAACCTTGCATGCAAGTCACAATTGAAAACTCACGGTATAGGTAAGGTAACACGGGCAAAGAAGGGTTATGGCATCCAGAGAAATAACAGTCACGGAAAGGAAAGGCAGGCGAGCCAAACCAACGATGGCGCCAGAGATCGTAAACCGGAGTGGCAGTCAAGTGTGACGGGGAGCAGTGGTTGTGGGACAAGTGAGTGATGTTGACTGGGTTAGCAGGCAGGACGACAAGGACAGAAACACGACCCAGAGGAGGTCTAGACTCTAGACAGAGAGACTCAGAGAGAGATTATGGTTGCAAATACACACGTGTTGCACACATGCGTTCGCGAACCTCCTATGTCTTAGAGCCACCAGGGCCTGCCGAAGTGTTGAGACGTCAAGCCCCTCTAGTCTTCACCGAGGCCTGTGAAGTTTCGCCTGTGTTAGTGCGAATCCTGGATTCTTTTTGTGGCTCATGTCGACGCGTTGCAGACCTGGTTTTTCAAGTGTACACAGACCGGGAACATTGAGACCTCGCCTGGCTTGTCCGACTAGCGAAAGCGTATACCAGGGAAACCCCTGAATCCAAGCCCTGTTTGTTGTTGCTCGTTTTGCCGCCTTGAACAGCCTACTTGGAGGATCATGGGACTTAGTAAGTAAGGTTATGGGTCCCTTAATTGGGGTTATAAGTATAGTATAGTTACCCGAATTATAACCCTACTTACTAAGTCCCATGATCCTTTAAGTAGCCTGGGGTGTCCGAATTGACCCAAACTCCCAGACCCCCAAGCAACTCCCAACACCCTTAAACCCTGCACTGCACCCAGCCCTAAACTTCCGGTGCCCTGAAAACCCTACGTACACCCAAACCCGTGGTATAAAGCCGCCCTCTAAACCCTAAACCCTTTCGTCCGAGTGTGAGCGTCGAAACCTTACAAAACGGACTGTTGTGGCGTGTGTAATGCAGTAGCTTTGAAGGATCCTGAAGAGCCCTAGGTAGGGTTTAGGGTTTAGGGTTTAGGGTTTAGGGTTTAGGGGTGGTAGGAGGCGAAAAGAGCCCAAGGAAGGCAATGTGGAACAGAATGGGACCGGCGAGATTTTGTTCGACGGCTGCTCCTCGGAAGGCGTCGGAGGTGCGAAGATGTGGGCTGAGTTCTGTCTTTCATGAGTTGAAGAAATGACTCACGAGTAACAAAACTAACTTAATTTAGGCCTGGACCAGGGCTTTCGCATGGGTTTTCAACAAGCCTCAAGAGCTTGAATAATTAGGTCTTGGGGGTATCGTATCCGACCCTCATAGTAGAGTGTAGGTTGAGGGCTTGAGATTTTTTCGTGGGGCTGCGCCGGTCATTACGCCGGGTCGGCTTCCCACCCAGTACGACTGCAGCGCTTGGTTGCACGATGTACAAGCTAATCAGCATGGGAAGGAAACTCTTCTTGCTCGTTGGAGCCCAGTTCTTGTTCACCCCCAAGCCCTAAACCCTAAAGATCCTCTACGCCTAGGCATGTCCGAGAGTGAGTGCTGAAAGATCCTCTACCCTTTGCACCCTGAACCCTAAACTCTAGCATAGAACGGTGCCTTTGTTAGAACGGTGCCTTTGTTGTGGAGGTGGCCTTTGTGCCTTTTCTCGGGGCTCAGTGAAGCTGATGGGGAAGAGCGTGTTTCAGCCGCCGGGCCTGTGTTTGGCTTTTCGGGCACTCTGCTGTTTAGGGTGTACATAGTCCCTATAACCTTCCAGGTACCTACTATATATAGGGCCATAGGGGCTCTAGTACCCTATATAGTAGGTACCTGGAGGGTTAGGGAGTTTATAGGAGTTAACGTACGGTTAAAGCATTGAGGGTTTATGGGGTATAGGGCTCATACGGTCCAGTTTACCATTGGACAGGGATTAAGTGGCTCATCGGCCTTGTGATCAGGCTCGAGGCGTTCGGCGTTGTGTGTTCAGACCTTGAGTTTGGGTAGCAAGGCTTTGGAATGTCAGCCCCCGCCGCCAGGCTTTGCAGATCTGCCTGTAACATGCTCAGAAATGACATGCAGATGGATTTCGGAGTGTATCAGAAGGGCCGTTGAAGGCATGCGATGTGAACAGCTAGGCACTGCGTCGCTGGAATGAGTGGTGCAGCTCTGCCTCTTGGCAAATTAAGACCGGGAAGGGCCGGGACACTCCAATTTTTGCTGGTGGGGAACAATGACCAGTAGAACCAGTCGAGATTGCCTTCCACTTCATCAGAGCCAGGTACAGTATTGCACCGACCACAGTGGCATCTTCTACCATCATCGACACAACTATACACGGCAGCTGGCTTGCATTGGAAGATGGCTTCCGGCAAGAGTGGCTGTATTGAGCTCTTAATTCGTTTTGAAGCGAACCGAGTGGCAAGTTCGAATCAAGTTCCGGAGTCGATGTGACAGGGTCAGGGTATCCTCAAGATTCCATTGCCAGGTCAAGTTTCTTTCTTCGTGCGAAGCAGCCTCGTCATGGAGAATGTGTCCATATCGAACCTTGGTGCAACCTGAACTTGACTCGCTTGCTTCGGTTAGCATGTTCGACTGCAGCCGCTTCAACACGACTTCAAGCTTGTCGCACTTTTCAGGAGCACTTTGCAGCAGCCGTTTGAGGCCCTGGCAAGGCGCGGAAGCCTCAAGTCTTCGAAGCTCACACCGAATTTCAGGAGTCTCACACACCCAACTCTGCAGAGGTCGCTTTGGCGTCCTTTTCATTGATGCGTCTGCTGGGCGTAGACATGGGTGTTATATACTGGTGGGTGGCTGGCTGACTGGCTGCTGGGTGGGTGGGTGGGTGCGCATGTGCCCGTTGCGGTTGAGTATGAGTCTCTGATCGTGTGGTTGGCGTGAGAGCAAGGGATGGAGAGAGAGAGAGAGAGCACAGTTTTTTACCGCATGCCCGAGTTCTTTCCCCCACAAAGGCCCCCCAACAGGGGTCGGGGAGCCTCGACAGCTCCCTTAGCCCCGGAGAACAGAACAGAACAGCGAGAGCGCGCACGCTGAATCAACATACATGACTCACCCTAACCCCCCAGGTACCTACTATATAGGGTACTAGAGCCCCTAGGGCCCCTTGTAGTAGGTACCTGGAGGGTTAGACTCATACCTACAGATGACACGGCCGGCTGGACGGACAGACAAGCAGGCAGACGTCAACTTCTACACGAAAAACACTGTAGCATACAAGGTATACCAGACATATGTATATGTATATGTATGTATATATATATATATATAGATAAACAGACATACATGAGTGTATATTATATTCATGTTGTTTATGCTTTTGTGGATTTGTCCTCATGTGCTGGTTGACATGTAGGTGCATGCAGACACGTGTTATTGTGGGGTTTGTGCTTCAATCGTTGTGTTTGTTTACGACATCAGCGGCGGTGCAGGGAGATCACCATCACGCAGCCGCCAAACTGCTCGCTACTGGCGGATGGCTGCCAGTTCACAGCCACATCTTTGCAGGCATGTGCAGGGCGATTTCGCTGTCATATGACATGTCTGAGAGCAGCGATTCCTGCACTTGCTCAGATACGAAGACTTTGTGTAGTCCATAATATGCTATAACATACTATAATATACTACAATATACTACCATATACTACAATATACTATAATACATCTATAGTATACTATAATGTATACTAGTTGTATGGACAGCTTTTTCATGGCATGCAGGTGCCGCCGCCTCTGTGCTCCCAGGGCACCGGAGTCATCAACCTCACCACGGACGGGCAGTCGATGATAGGCCCGGGCCGTTTCTTCTGCAGGATCGTGCGAAGGGCGAAGGGTAGGGTTTAGGGGTTTTTTTGGGTTTAGGGTTTAGGGTACATCCAGTGGCACAGATAGCAATATCCCCTAATGCAGTCCCCATATGACGAGAGTACAAAAATCCAACACCCTTTTCAAAGGGCTCCTCCAGCAGCCTTCCGTTTATACTGTTGGGATCAATATTTCCGTCCAAGCTTTCTCTCTCAGCTAGTCTCACCAAAGCCGACTTAAGATCACCAGCCTCGCATGCATTGTCCGAGTGTGAGAGCCGAAAGCAATCAAGCGGAAGTTCTCAGCCCCACCTGTTCTTCAGGTTGCGAAAAATGTCCCCAGGGCCCCGACCTCAGTTCTTTGGGCGTTGGGGTTGGGGACCTGACATGCTGCAATGGATCTGGACGGTGTGCTCTCCGTTTGCTTCGGGCTTCATTGCCAGATTGGGTATTGAGGTGCCCTGTGCACCTGCCTCAGTTTCACCATTTAGGACCATCATCAACATCACTGTCATCGTCCCCCATCCTACCACCATCATGCGTGGAGATGGTTGTGATTGGTGTCAATGAGATCGAAGATGGTGACGGTGATCCTTGCGCTGATTGCGGTGGTGGTGGTGGTGGTGGTGGTGGTGGTGGTGGTGGTGGTGGCGGTGGTGGCGGTGGTGGCGGTGGTGGCGGTGGTGATGGTGGTGCTAGTGATGCTGTTGCCGGCAATACTACTGACAATGACTGAGCTTGAATTTTTAGGTTTGATGACCAGTAGCACCTGCGCGGGTTTGATGACTATGACTAATTACTGATGAGTGTGAGAGCTCTATCGCACATGTCTTGCTCTTTCCGCGCGCAACTGGGACCCGAAGCGTTGCAAAATCTCTTCCAGGCAACGACGAACTGTCCATGCCAGGACGGGTTGAAGGTTGTTTGCCTAAAGAATCTAAAAAGTTGAGAGATGGTCAGAGTCCTGCTCCTGCTTCAAGGTTTCATGCAGCTCATGGATGCCAAGTCAGAGGTGGGCTGCACTTGGGGGTTGCCTCCCCAAGCATGGTAAGTTTTTGGCCAGGCTAACGAAGAACAGAAAATGCTTCTAGACAGTTGGGGTGTTTGCCGCTTTAGTTGTCAGTTGTTGGTGCTGTATAGAGATGGCATTGAGCTGCATGCGTGGATTTCCGATTCCACCTTGTAGCATCGTTGTGGCAGGCAAGGTAATCACCTAAACCCCAAGCCCCTAACTGGGCCCCTAACCCTAACTCTAAACCCTGAACATCCCTGAACCGTAGCCTAAACCGACCATAGGCTTTCTTGAGCTGTCGGTGAAAGAGGCCTGCCGTCCCTGCCCAGTCAGCGCTCAGATCTGCGAGCCTGCCCGGGTCTTCTCTGCAGATCAGAACCGTTTGATTTGATTTCCATTTCTTGGTTATCTACCTGCACAAGCGAAGAGGTAACAGGTATATACTTTGAATTTGGTAAGTTCGGTTACATTGGTTGTATCCATGTTGGTGTTTTTCTCTTCCGCTGTCGCAAAGCTCTGCACCAGGTCAAGATGCGGCCTGGTTACATGGTCACCATACGCTCGAGCATCAACGACCTGAGCCCACCACGGCGCTGCGCTGCACCGAGACTTGGTCTCAAAGTAGTGCGCCCTCGTTCCCTGAGCACCCTGCAGCAACCTGGGTTGAAGAGTCAAGATCCGAGACAGCTGGCGGGTAGCTAATACTCATGTTCCCATAATAAGCCTTTTTAACAATCGCAGAAAGGTGCATATTATATAGCTCGCACACATAGTAATGTACATGCACATATACACACACACACATATGCATACAGGCAAACATACATGCAAACATACATACGTACATACATACATACATACATACATACGTACTCGTACGTAGATAGGTAGATTCGGAGATGCAGTTCGACGAGGTATGTACATGTTCATGCACATGGACGAAATTATCACACACACACACTGCCTACCATTGTGTATATATATATATATACTCATTCTGTATATATATATATATATATTTATATATATATATATATGTATGTGTGTATATATATATATATACACAAATGTGTGTGTGTGTGTGTGTGTGTTTTATTTACTGATAAGTAGACAGTTCCGCGTTGTTGCGAGGAAAGCCTGCCCTGGAAGATCTTTGCCGGACGAGCGCTCTTCCATGTGTGCGGAGCCATGGCTGCGAGTGAGGGCCAGAAGCGGGTTTAGGGTTTAGGGTTTAGGGATTGGGATTTAGGGTTTAGGGTTTCGGGTGTAGGGTTTAAGGCCCTGTGGCACAGGTTTCAAGATGGTTTAAGGTTAGGTGGCTCCGGACCAGCGGGTCGTGTTTGGGTGGTCCTCTAGATTAAAGCCCCGTTTTAGGTAACCACAAATAGCACGGCAGCCTCATGAAAAGGAGCCTACAAGGGACCAGAGTTTAGGGAACTACCCATTTGTTGATAGAGCTCTTCTGCAGTCTCCCTCGGCTTTGCAAGCGCAGCATGTGTTCCCTCAACTGTCCTCTCCAGCTGTTGCCCTATGCCAATTTCCATGATGGACTATTTGGCAATGTTTTTGCTTGTTACCAGGGGCCCTCTGTTATGCAGCACGCTGACTTGGAATCGCTTTGGAATTTTTTTAGGGCCCAGAATTTTGACTCTGGACCTTCAAGCCTCGAAGTCGTAATCTCTCCAGGATGCTGGCATTTCATCCCGGGCGTTCCGGGGTTGGCGTTCCTTTCCTTTCCTTCTACGATGCAATGCCATCGCCGGCAAAGGTCCAATGAGTTTACAGACCTTGAAAAAATCACATTTACAAAACTCCGGACTTCCAATTACACCCAGGTCGGGAATTTGAAGTGTTTGGGAACTCGCCCACGAGCTCATACAGGCTATTTCTGGACCTTGTGAATCATGCCCGAAATTGTAGCAGAGCCTAGACGCGCAGACCCAGATTCGGTGGTGGTGCTGTGGAACGAAAGCAGATGACCTGAGGCTGGACAAGGGCCAACATGATATTGCCAGGTTTGCTGAGTCATTTCCAACGGGGAGTGCATGATCTCCCGAAGTTGGAGAAAATCGTTTCCAGCCCACGCCCGGTCCGAGAACTGCTGGTGCAACTAGTGGCAGGCAGAACCCCCCCCCCCCCCCCCCGCAGGCCCTTAGTATAACTTGGCTGCAGGTCTATGCTGGTCTCTGACCCTTGCCTGTCCCCATTCGTCCCAACACTCACCAAGGATTGCGAACTGTCTTGATCCCTGTGGTACCAAAGCATGTGAAATCCCGATGCCTGTAGTCCAGAGCAGAAACTTCAGGGCTTTGTGCTCGCGTGCAGTGTGATGTAATAGACACACACACACATATATATATATATATGTATATATGTATATATCTCTTCTGTTAGACATTGACAACAGATATATAGATATATAATATATTATGTATTGATATTGGCGACCAGGAAGGCTACGCTGGGGATGGATGCCTTTACTGTGACGGCACGACCCATGCAGCTGCTGATGGGCAAAGCCTTTCTTGCACGAAGTGTGGAGTCAGTGGCTTGGCCGATTTCAACTAAACCCCTAAACCCTAAAC